TATATATATATATATATATATATATATATATATATACTGTTTTTAATGTTTTGTTTATAGTTAGAAGGGAACACAATGTATCAGCTCGCAGTTTCCAATTGCCCTAATTACCGTCCATCAGATGTTGGAGACCTGAAAAGATATTTAATCATGAAAACCCGGGAATATTTCGAAACAAATCGCATCTGGATTAAATATCGCTATCCATCAAATGAGGTATATCAATCATTCATATTATATAACAAGTGAAACAGTATCTTAGGTAAGATAAGAATGAGATATACAAATCAATAGACATGTTGGTGTCCATGGATGTGATTGTCATAAAAAAGAGAGTTTATTCAGTTTAGGACTGATACAACTGTTTTTATGCTCAGTGTTCATATTTGGAACTCAACTATGGAAGTGGTAAACACAAGACTGGGACGGCTGATTGTAACGAGCGATATCCTACTGTCTGCGAACGTGCCACAAGTAAGACACTATAAATCCAATCGATTTGTTTTACATCTTAATACTTCATTTATTTATTTATTCACTTATTCATGTATAATTATTCAATTATTTATTTACTCATTCATTCACTCAATTATTCATAAATTCATTCAATCAGTCATTTATTTATTCATTCATTCAATTATTCATTCATTTATTTATTCTTTCGTTTGTTTTTTTTGTTTATTTGTTTATTCTTTTATTTGTTGATTGTTAATTATTAATTTATTATTTATTTATTTCAACATTTTCGAGGGTGGTCTATCTTGCCTCAGTACGTACATAAACGACAAAAGTATAAAACAATGAAAATTAACTAAGTAATTAACTTACACCAGAGAAGAAAAAAAATCTGAAAAATCGATAGGCTGAATAAAGAAAAAAACATTAAAAATAATAATTTACAAAATGATAGTAAAATTAAAACTTGGAACCCTTAGTACGTACATTAAACGTCGAAAATATTAAAGAATGAAAATTAACAAAGTAATTAACTTTGAATAGAGAAGAAAAAAATCTGAAAAATTGATAGATTACTGAATAAAAAAAATATATAATTTACAAAAGGATAATAAGATTAAAACATTAAACAAACAGTGAAATTATCATGAGGGGAAAAAAGGACACATTTAAAAGAAACCGTAAAATAATTTCAAAATCAAAATGAAAGAAATTTCAAAAGGTTCAATCTGAAAGAAGAGAAAGAAAACGTAAAAAGTACAATCTGTGAAATAGAGTTGTAGGTGTAGGGAGCATTACAACTGAATGAATCTTTAAAGATTTCTACGTTATGCTTTGAAATGAGAACATCACCGTTGGTAATTTTAGCAACTACGGTAACTTTTTGATGCACTGAGTTTGTGGAGAAGAAAGTAGAGTTGAAATTGAAGTTTGAAATCAAGGGGAAAGGTATAGACTGAAATGAGTAGTAGGAAGGTGAGTAGTAGTTTGGAGTTTCAGTAAATATGAATAGCTTTGTATGTCATTCTGGTATGTACTTTGTACAGAGATCTGCTCCCGTTGTTGCCTTTTAGTCTCTTACTTGAGTTAAATAAAATTATGAATTTGAATACTAAAATATATATCTGTTTTATAATTTTTATCTGTTTTATGCAATTCTGAAAGTATCAACATTTTGTCTAAACTGATATGCGCCATTTATCTTCGAATAAAATTTTAGGAAATCGATGTCCTAACAATTGTATGGGTAATGGCATGTGTTGGTATAAGACATGCATATGTGATCCAGGGTGGTCAGCGAAAGACTGTTCTCAATATATATGCTCCTATGGATGCTCCAACCACGGTACATGTGTGGGACCGAATGTCTGTCGGTGTAAGAGTGGTTGGCAGGTAAACACTTAACATTACACATTAGTGCTAATTGCTAAGATATATTACTACTACTGCTGCTACTGCTGTTGCTGCTGCTGCTACTACTACTACTACTACTACTACTACTACTACTACTACTACCACTACCATTACTACCACTACTACCACTACTACCACCACTACCACCACTACCACCACTACCACCACTACCACCACTACCACTACCACTACTACTACTACTACTACAACTACTACTACTACCACTACTACTGCTGCTGCTACCACCGGTACCACCACAGCTGCTACTACTGATACTAACACCACTACGACCACCACTACTATTAAAAATAATAATAGTGCTGCTAGCACCGTGTAATATAATAATGATAATATCTATTCTTAAAATGATTATAACTTATTATTATTATTATTATTATTATTATTATATATATATATATATATATATATATATATTATGTCCAAGTTATTAATTTTATTATAATATTAAATAGTATTATATAAGGAACAATATATAATCATTATTATTAATGTAGTATTATTAATTAATTATTTACCAGTTGTTGTATTACATGATTTTGTTAAAAGGGATCAAGGTGTACATTTAGTTACTGTATGCGATTTAAAGACTGCAGGTCATGTACTAAAGTAGAAGGATGTGGTTGGTGTGATTCGACACTCAAATGTCTCCCAGGTACAATCACAGGACCCGAATTTGGAGTCCAATGCGAAGCATGGTTCCACAATTACTGTTTTACCACTGGCGAGTGTTCCAACAATATAGAGGTATTGCTATTCAGATAATTCAGATAGGTCTATGGTATTTTATTTTGATCGATTAAGGATACTTTTCATTACGCATCATATAACAGACGAATATAAATAGAATTAAATTTATGAATACAGGCAAACATGTAGAGCTTTTATGGCTAAAATGCTTTTCGGATATGTGTGGTGTGAATGGTTGCGGAATAAGCAAGGACATTTAACTGTTACCAGGATAGGAAACTGGCTGGTTGAAGCCGTCTAACTTAAATTAGCCTTATGTGTGGTATTTTTATGCTAATGAGCCAGATAAGCACAATCTGCACATGCTTAGAAAAACAAAACGGCTAGGCCTAGCTGTTTTACGTCTAGCCGATACGCAGTATGGCTAAGGAAAGCTTTGTTTTTTTTTCTGAGCATGTGCAGATTGTGCATACCTGGCTCATAGCATAACAATACCACACATAAGGCTAATTCAAATTAGACGGCTTAAAACAGCCAGATTCATATCCTGATAACAGATAAAAGTCCTTGTGATAAGTACCAACCATTCCTAAAGTTGTGTTCAATTATTTATAAAGTGAAACTTTAAAAATCCCAAATAGATAATATATTAACAATTCCTCAATATATGGTGTTATAATTGTGTCAGGCTTAACCTTTTAGCGGAATTTTCCCAGTGTAGTTGTTTCTGAAAAGGATTTATCTGTCGAGACTCGAACTTTCAACCTCTTGTTATCATACCGAGTGACCATATAGAGAGTCATACTATATCAGAGCAGATTTGACCTTTCGGCTATGTTCATTTGGCCAATAGGAAACTAGAAACTGAAAATACGTACGGGTGATTGGCTAATGATAGATATGCACTCAACTTGATAACCGGTAGCGCTCGCTAACCAAAAGCGTATCCGGATCCTGGTAGTAACGGTTAGCGCTAACCGATCGGGCGTGACCTAAGGCACTTTTCTCACAGAAATGAGTTTTGCGCGCACACAAATGAAGATAGCTTAAGCCAGAAACTAGCCTGTTAACAAGTTATAATAACAATCAATTGTTTTATAGATACTTAATTGCAAGTTAACCCACTGTGATACAACGCGATCAAGCCCAACGATAGGCTCCTGTCAGAGTTGTCGAGATTTGGAGCAATGTTTCATTGAAAAGGTTTGTTTTAATATCATACATATTATTCATTAAAACAAATCAAAACCACCACTACTACTTACATGAGGGCTTGATATCATATTTTGTTTTGTTTTTGAATGTGTTGCTATTAAAGTAAACCCGATCTTGCTTGAGCAAGTCTGAAGTATTTACGACGTCTACTTGCTTTAATTTGCAGCCAAGTGGATGTAATGTTTGGAGTCCAGACATGTGTCCATTCAATTTGGTCAATCCGAACTATGCTGATCCTAAAAGAAAGAATAGTATAGAAATTAATGAAAAAGTTCAAGTAATCAACGTTGGCCAGAATGCTGCAAATCTTTACATTTGTCCAGTGAAGAGGAACAATGAAGTATTGTTGATATCTAACAGATTACTCGAGAAGACAGAAGTTTCTAATATCCTAATTTCTAATCAAGCACAAGGGATTTTCCATACTGTTGTGTCAATACAACATTTATGTGAGTAATTTTTATAAGATAAGGCATCGTTTAAAGAAAAATAATTGTGTTAAATTGATTATTAATATCACTTAAACAATGAGCTTTAATTTTAGTAATTAATTCATCACAGTTTTTACGAAGAGACACAAGCTTCAATTTCAACCAACACAGCGTTTTGAGAAAAACGCCTTTGAAGTGGACTAACAAGATATCGATAATTTAAACATTTTTTACGTGTTTAAAAATATAGCATCAAACAGTTTCAATATTCAAGTTATTTTTTCTTTTCTTAACTTTAATTAACCTGTTAATTATTGTAAAGAGCTGTTCGTGAAAACTATGAGAATAAAAACAGCATATGTTATTTACACGTAGAGTGAAGTTGTGAAGACGAACATTTAATTTTATCGTTTATAAATAAAAACTGTATTTTTATCCCATGTTTAACCATTGTAGACAAATGTGATAACAGCCCTGAAAACGTAGCTTTTGCAGCTTAAATCATTATATTTTGTACTAATAATTCTACACTTGATGCATGTGCATATACCTAGTCCAAATTTTACTGCAAGAAGGGTACCGCTATGCTTAGGTAAGTTAGGGAAATTTAATCTTTACATCTAGCTCTAACCAAGCTAGGCCTTATCTAGTGAATCACAACGATTGTAATGATTCTTTTTAAAATCATTTTATTTTAGGGCGGCATAGCATGATAATGGCAAGTGTGGCGAAATTTGACGAAGTATTTCAGTACGCAAATTTAAATGATGTTTTTGACGTAATCCAAATCCCTGATTACAGCGATTTGCCTGATCAGTCATTTTGGAACGATGTTATCAACACTCAGTTGTCCTATCCTATGAAAGATATAGTATTTCTTCAAGGTAGTGTGACATTTCATTGTTCATGTTTATTTTGTATAACTGTTCTTGTGAGGCTAATTTAATGCAATATTACATATTTGTACTTTTAAGAGTTTTGCCAACTCTAGAATCAACACTGTGATAACTTATGCTTCTAAAGTCGTGACCTAAACATGATTCTTACCGTCAGCCTAATTAAAAGGGTAACACAATATCAAAATAAAATAATCTATATATATGGAGGCAAGGCAGATATAAATTGATTATAAATTCCTGCCGCAGAACAATGTGCAACTAGATACCATAAAAAAAAACTAATCCTTTCTTTGCAATGATTAAACATGTATTCTTTCTTTAAGATGTTCAATTTAACAAGTGCATTGGAAGTATGAATGTGCTGGGATCAAGAAAATATCATTCAACTTTCGTCGTATTGACTTCAGACATTGCAACTTCGTACGCTATTGAAGTTGGAGACATACTCGTAGTGAACTCTACTGGTCATTTCATCGAATCTGTTGTCGAAATTGGAGACGAACCCAATTCTATATTCATTGAAACCAGTATTTTAAACTGTAGTGACGAAACGATACGAAATGACGTGTAAAAATGCATATTGTATTTGTATGATACGGTGTATAAAATGGCTTACTAACATGACGTTAAACAACAACATAAAGTATACTTTCACTGCGAATAACACTGATCTTATGTTAACCTTTAACAGGTTGATGTTTCTAATTATTTTTTTAGAATGCTAACACCGCCCTCTTCAGTCCTTCATGATAACGGAAACAGTATTCTTGGATGCAGTGGTGGAGAATATAACATAGACGGAATTGTTCTAATAGATAAAAACACAGACAAACCGCTACAGATTGACACTACTACATTAGTTATTGGACGTGAAACATGTGGCTTGGTCGGGAAGGTTGGTGCCTAAGAGATAAACACTGTTATCGATTACACTATCACCGATAATTAGTAACTACTAACCATGCACGTGTCTACATGTCTACATAAACTAATAACTAGAATTGAAATATATTTGTTTGTAATTTTAGTTGTAATTTATTTGATTATAGGTTTTACATTATGAAGTTCGAGGTAACTATGCATTTATTGAGGTGCTGGTTGCACGTGATCATCAGGAGTTTAATGACATAATGTATAACGACAACGATGATGACATTGGCAATAACGACTCTCCAGTGGATGTACACCTGAGTAAACCAATAATATACAATGTAAGAAAACATTACTTCAAGCTATGATTATTGGCTTTACGAAGCTGCCCGTGGTAGCTGCTAAAAGATTAGATCTGACGGCCCTACTAACTTGGGGTAGGGTATGGAGAGCCTAGTGAGGAAAGGATCCACTCGCTTGCGTTTTCACGTTTAAGGTGTATTTTTATATTCATTAAGTTCTAGCCTACTCCTTCAAATACATTGCTTGGCCTATGAAGCAAAGTGCTGATAAGTATTACTGGCCACTGGGACCACCAGTGAGGATTCATAGCCGTCACTGAGTACCGCCCGTTTCTTGACGTTTAAACGGCGTATTTTAAACTTTGTTTTATACACATATGATTTTTAAAGGAAAATACTGATAAATATATGTGAGCCTGTCGCTTTATTCAGTGGGAGTTTACGTTATGTTACGCCGCTCGTTGTCATTTAGGTTTTTTCATGGTATTTGTTATTCGTTTGTATTAATATTTTTAGGACGATGACATTTTACTAGAAATGGACCCACATTTTCAGTTTAATCCGTCTTTGAGGCTGATTTTCTCAACTGACCGTATAAAATACAAACAACTGGATTTAATCTACGAAGGCCCGATAGAGACGGGTCTACATATAAATTGCAGCGCTGGAGTTCCGTAAGTAGCAATAACACAAAACAAACGTATTATTACACACTACACACACAAAGAAAAATAGTTTTTAAATATTTAAGCAATTGAGTTATGCCTTAGTGGAATTGTATGTTATCGTTTGTTTTGAAAAGGTTTGATAATGATGTTGCAAAGCAGTTTGCTGTAAACAGAAGAACTGGTAATTTCTATGTTTCACTGGGAGGTTTGAAAATTCCTTTATCCGTCGGTTTAACAGCAAAATACTCCATTATAGCTAGTATACCGGTAAGTGTACATTATTGCAATTAATTTGAATCAATAATACACAGTATATAAGTATTTGATTTGGCTGTATACTAACATTTATTTTTATAATCGTTGCCATATATACTTTTCCACTGTATTGTTGTTTTTCGACATTTTTCCTTTTAATAAGAACTGTAGTCAGTTGAGTTCTGTTTGCATTAGCTATTGTCGAGCCTTAGGTGGTCTAAATGATAGTCGTCAGCCCCATCTCTCTATTTTCGGATGTCATTGATTCATTTTGATCGTCGCCCTAATTTACGTTTTTTTTTGCGCATACCTCTCCCTCTCTATAGTCACCCAGGATCAGACTATTAGGTGTCCGTTTCCAGTGACCATATTCCCTCTTCTTCTTCTGGTACACTCCGATTGTTCCCTTATCCATTAATTTGTTTTCCACTTTCTCCAAGTTATTCTCAGAACTCGTCTCCACAGCCACGGGATCATCTTAATATCTTTACTTCTGAGTGTCCAACTTTCGCAGCCATAGAGGGGAATGCTTCAAACCAAGGTCTTTCCTAATTTTCTCTTTATATTCAGGCTCAGATCTTTGGTTTTCCCGAGGTCTGTTGTTGCCTTTCTTGCTATTATTAACCTGGTCTTCATTTCAAATTCACTGTCTCCTTTGGAGGTAATGTAAGATCTGAGAAACTTGAACTTATCCACTCTCTTCGTCTTATCCTCTTGATTGTCAATATGTAGCATTTTTCCATTGTAAAATTTCAAGAAAATTCAACTTCTTAACTTTCTTGATCTTATCCTCCTTGTCCTTATATGCGGGTAAATAATGTTTGCATTGTTGATTAAGAGCTATTGTTTCTTAATAGCTTTTTGAGGTTTAGCCATACCGCACACCTTTTTTTTTTCGTTATTGGAAATTAGGGTTGTTTAATCTGCGTATCTTATATTCCACATCGTTCTTTGATACTATAAATATAACACACTCATGGAATCGAAAGAAAAAAGTTTAGTACCAACATCCTGAAATTAAAGTAATGTGGGTTTCCAATTATTATTATTAATGATTTTAGAAATAAGATTAATAAGAAACTTTAAAAAATCAACATGTCACTATTTCCTCTATCATATACAGGCTTCTTTGGAAACCAATTTTGGTGTTACTTCTACCGGAAAACTAAATATTGGGTACGGCATTAGGCCCCAAGAAAAGAGACTCGTCGTACTTACACCTGTGGTCTGTATATATGTTTTCTTAATAAACATAGTTACGTTTGTACTATTATTATTAGGATATATTATAGTTTAGTAATGTGCGATCAAAAAACTATTTTGGCTCAACAGTAAACCTCAAATTCAAAACTAAATTAATACCCTATAATTGTTATAACAATTGTAATAATGATGATAATTATGATAATATACGGTACCTTATCGCAACAGCCATACATTCAAAACAATAATTATTTTATACTCATTTTACTTATAAAAAATTATATATGTAATCCATATATTAGAAAATATATGTCTCTAAATAATAATAATAATAATAATATATATATATATATTATATATATATATATATATATATAGTCAAAACAAAAATCGTCTTAAATTCAATTTTTTAATAATATATAATGAATATGTACAGTATAAAGTTCATGTATATGTATATATCATGTATATTAAATTCTCAGGTGTCTGATGGTTTAACAAGTTCATCCAGGGTAATAAGGTCAGATTTGTCAAATTATACAAACGTCCGCATTTCGGTAAATGGAACTTTTGCCCCAACGTTAACGGTGACATTTCCAGCCGAGCCTGTTCAGCCATTTTGCAATACGGCATCTCTTCTCCCTGAATGGCTAGCTTCATTTGGTAAGAATCTAATAGTAGACACTGTCTTAGAAAAATAACAACTACAGCATAATGAATCTCAACATAAAATTACATGGTTAAATAGTATAATATTTATTTGTGATTTCACTTTTACAGCACACTATCTTTAATCTTAAACTGATAAAAGAGGAAATCAACAAACGTATGCTAATGATCGACATTAAAAAAATACCTTTTACTAAAAATACAAATAAAATTTTGATTTTATATTTTGATATGTATATATATATATATATATATATATATATATATATATAAATAGTTGGAGTTGGAAGAAGTTATGTAATTTGGAAGCTGGTTCCAAAAAAGGGCATAAGCATACGTAAAAGGAGGTTTTGGTACGGCATTTGGTGAAGGAAAGAAGGTTATAATATGCATGTACAGGAAACATAAGAAGTACCTGCTTATGTATCTCATAAATAAAATGTGTCAAAATTTATACCTTGTTCCTGAGTTTAATTTTCCAATCATATGCATACATACATACTTAATATTTAATGTAAACAAAATTAAATATGGTGCAAAGGCAAATGGTTTTATTTTGTTTTTATTAATGTTATAGAAGGTTAATTACCATATTAACCTTCTATAACATTAAATATTTAGATAATGTGTTTTACATTGTCTTTTAGTTGGTAGTAGTACACACGCAACGTGTAGCATAGTTAAAGATGAAGATGTACCTGTCGGTTCCCAATTTTCGACTACATTTCAAATTCATTCAAATTTGACTATTTTCTTGTGTGACGAAAGATGCTTAGAAGAGGAAACCTTACCATACGATACTACGTATGCTCTATTACTGTATGGTGGTCTCTCTCAGATCAATATGGAAACCACATATAACCAGGTGTACCCATCAAAAACATCATACCAGTCCACAAAAACCTTTGATTTGACAGTAAACACAAGGTAACGTTTAATGCTGACTTTTTTTCTCAATATTTGTACGAACCTCTTCAACTCTGTTGCTGTGATGATTCTAATATCTCATTAGAATGTATCTTTATGACCAGTTTAGATATTATACGGACTACAGAATTATTGAAAAACGTAAATTTATACAGTATGCTATAATTATATAAGAATACTGTAATTGTTATCGAGGATGGTTTCTGTTTTCTTAGCGTTCTTATGATTATCCTTCTTCTGCAAACATATCAAAACGCTGCTTGTGCCAAACAGTTAAGCCGATTTCAATCCAACTTGGTCAGTAGAAGCGGTAGAACCTCCCACACAGAGGGTCTTCCCATCTTTTGGTCAAAGGTCACATAGGGGTTGTTATGGTTAAAACATTTTTAAATATCTATGAAAGACTACTGTCACAAATAACATAGCAGTCTTGTCAATTGGACACATGCATCGATATAAGGCACGGTTTTTATGGTGTTTGGGGTAAAATGTCATTAAGGTGTCATTGTCCATATTCTTGCCATTTTTTAAAACGCTACTAGTGGCACACAATTGGGCCGATTTCAATCACACTTGCCCAGTACAACCGCTGACATCTCCCTACATAGTTCACAGCTTTGGAATCCAAGATCACAGAGGTCATTAGTGTCAAAAGCTTTTATTTGTATAGGTTTATTTTTTTATGTAGAACTGTGTTGATGAGGGACTCAGACATTTTATTATAGTGATTAAGTTCTCTTTTGTGTCCCTGCCAATCAGCTCAGTTATTCTTGTTTTTCATTTCCTGTATAAATGTTATGTTATGCTTTTGTTTGCCAATAAAAGAATAAAAATAAGAATAATTAAATGAGCTCAAATTTACAAGGAATGATCTGAATGAGATGTATTGAACGTTATTTTATTTATTGTAATTTTCTATTTATTTTATTTATTGTATTTTTAAGTTCATTTATATTCACGTTCAATTTCATTTTCTTTTCAATGTCAATGTCGTTTCCGTTTTCATACATGTTTTAATTATTTTTTTTATTTTATAATCAAAAATTATGCCATTTTCGGAATATAAAATTTATATATGGACGTTGTCTGTGTGTTTGTCTGTATATCAATAATTTAGAGAGTGTAGTGCGCAGCCATTCCTGAATGGACTGGACTGTATTGCTGAAAAAACAAGTGAAACCTCCGTTGATGTAAGTGACAATGACACGCTAGTGTACCTTTAATATAAGTAATTTTCTACACAATACAAAAACATATATCTTGCCTGTTGTAGTTATGCAATCATTATTATAATATTATTTGCCAAGTAATAATGATATAACAATGATTATTGCTACTACTATTCTGAATACTTACTCATTTTGTTTTTAATAGTTATTATACTTACTTACAAAAATAAGGTATTATACTTACATACGTATGAAGCTCTGCTCTGTTTGACAAGTCCTCACACATCCAGTTTTTCCAAACATTTCTGTTTTGTGCCTGTTCCTTAACGCTTGATATGAGCCTAGAAGACTGAAGAATAGTCCAAAAAAAAAAACAAAAAAAAAAAAACGATATGTTTCTACCCCTTTGTGGTTTTCCCATAAAACGCTTCAAAAGCTGCTTTAGTAGGTGGTTCTTGCCTCTAAGTACATGGCCAATCCATGATTTCTGTCTCTGGTTTATAGTTTTAATGTGTGATCATGCTAATAACCTGCTCGTCGGTGACCCTGCTACGACTGTTCCAGTCAATTAATAACAGCAACTAAATCGATTATACGAGACTATTCGGCAAATTGAAGCTACGTTAAAAGCTCCTATGAGCCATACGAACGAACGAGTTTTTTATGACCTGGCGTTCTTCTTAATCGCAACACCATTTGTTTTCTTTTTAGTATATTTTATTTTCATCATTTTCCTTCATGTTCACATTTCAAATGATTTTGTTATCATTCTATCCTCTTTCCTTAATTTCTGTTTCGCTTGCATATACTCTTTCTGTACATCATTTACATACAGCCTCATTTTTTTTTTGCCGGTTGTTTAGTTATTCGCATCACCTTTGTTTTCTTATGTTCATTTTCATTCTAAGTACTACCGAGAGGCGGAGGCAGGGCGAAGATCCCCGGGGCCCAAGCTTACCAGGGGTCCATAGAAATTGAAAATAGCATTTCTTTCAGTAAAATAATATTACTATAATGGGCCCCCAATAATGGCATGGGTCCCCTAATAATGGGCCCCCCAAAACCAACCAAAGAAAAAAGGTTTGCGCCTTTGGCGCAATCTCTCTTGCGCTTTGCGGTCGTAAAAGGGGGTCACATCAACCCTTGTCCCTGCTACAGTTTACGTCCTGATTACATACTCTCTTCCGCCAATCCCTAATTTGTCCACTATCCTTTGCAAACCAGTGTTTGTGTTACACATAATGCCCTGCTCATCGATATACCTTTCTGCTATTATATGTTCTCCTCCGATACCATCCTTATTATCATATAGTACTTCACTCATCATATATTCAATATAAATATTAAATAATATTGCCAAACGGCCATTATCTGCCTGTTCTGCTTCACCTTCTGTTTTATATCACAGCTTTCTGATGTGTGTACAACTTACAGATGGCACGTCTCTCTCTCTCCAATGAACATCCATTTTCTCGAATTAACTTTACCCAAACTCCTCTGTCAAACGCTTTTTCATAATCTACCCAGCATACGTATACATCCTTCCCATACTAGACCCTAATGATCTGTTAGTAATATTTTTACAACTGCAAATGCATCACTAGTAGACTACTTTTGACAAATTGCTCTCATCCAATGTAGTTTGCTGTCTTTCCTTTACTACTTTTTGTAAGAACATTTATGGTAATTTTTCAAACATGGCACGGCATGCTTATTGTCCGGTGTTCTTCAAATTTGTCTGTTTGGGGTTTCTCCGGAATTGTGACTATTAATTTCTTTGGTGAAATCATTGACGATTCTCTATTCTTATAATATATAATTACTTAGTTGGTTAGCTCTTTCCTTGAAGTTGATCCTAAATATTGTTTAGTATACTAACTTAAAGTTAGGTGCATGTTTACTTTACAAACATAACGTAATATATATATATATATATATATATATATA